ATCAAATACCTTGGAATAAATTTAACCAAGGATGTCAAAGATCTCTACAATGAGATTCACAAAACAATAAAAAAAAAAGAAGATATTAAAAAATGGAAAAATCTTCCACATTCATGGATTGCAAGAATCAATATCATCAAAATTCCCATATTTCCAAAAACAATTTACAGATTCAATGTGATATCAATCAAAATACCAAAAACATTCTTCTCAGATACAGAAAAAATTATGCTGAAATTAATATGGAAACACAGGAGACCCCAAATAGCTAAAGCAATCTTATACAACAAAAACAAAGCTTGGGGCATCACAATACCGATTTCAAGACATACTACAGGGCAGTTGTAATCAAAACAGCCTGGTACTGGTACAAAAACAGATAGATAGACCAACAGAACAGAATAGAAGTGCCAGAATCCAAGTCTCTACAATCAACTTATCTTTGACAAAAGAACTAAAATCAATCCCTGGAGCAATGACAGTCTCTCCAACAAATGGTGCTGGGAAAACTGAATTTCCACATGTAGAAGTATGAAGCAAGACCTCTACCTTACACCTTATAAAAAAATCCACTCAAGTTGGACTAAAGACCTAAATCTATGACCAGATACCATCAAATTATTAGAGAACATTTGGGGAAGCCCTGAAATACATTGGCATAGGTAATGACTTCTTGAAAAAGACCACAGAGGCACAGGCAATCAAAGCCAAAATTAACAAATGGGATTATGTCCAATTTAGAAGCTTCTGTACTGTCAAAGAAACACTTAGCAAAGTGAAGAGGCAACTGACAGAATGGGAAAAATTATCTGCAAACAATGCAACTGATAAAGAATTAATAACCATAATATATAAAGAGGTCAGAAAACTCAACAACAATAGAATAAATAATGATACTTTGAAAATGACTATGAAGAAGAAATGGGCAAAGGACTTAAACAGACATCTTTCAAAAGAGGAAATCCAAATGGCCAACAGAAACATTGTCGCTCCCCCTCTTCACGGAGGAACGACACTAAACCCTGCGCTGTTCTTTTGTCTGCTCGGCCCTTCCCGGGTTTGCTGCTGGTTCTTCCCAGGTTGGCTGCCGTCCCTTCCATCTCCGTGGAGGGGTGGGCCCCCCTGCCACTTTCCCCACTTCCGCGGGGGAGCGGCACACCGCCGGCCGGCTCTCTCGGGGGCTGCTCAGATGTTATTCGGATATTCCTCTTAGATGTTCCTGGTGCATGTTGTCTCTCTCCTCCTTTATAGTCCTCTTCCACCAATCCCAACTCTGCTACCCACACGCTGAGTACGCTGCTCTCCTCCAATCAGGAGCAGGATCAGCTCCTGCAGGTCATCACTCAAGTTGGCGAGAGGCAGCTGCATAGAAGCTGTTTACTCCTCTCCCAGCGCCATATTGTGGGAGAGCAGATGCATAGAATAAGTCTTAATTCCAGTAACTTAGTCTAGTCCGAGTTGCTCCCCACAAACATGAAAAAATGCTAGGATCTCTAGCCATCAGGGAAATAAAAATCAAAACCACAATGAGCTTTACCTCATCTAAGTTAGAATGGCTTTCATACAGAAATCAACAACAACAAATGCTGGCAAAGATGTGGGAGAAAAAGGTACTCTAATCCACTGTTGATGGGAATGTAAACTGGTAAAGCCACTATGGAAGACAGTATGGAGATACCTAGAAATCTGAATATAGACCTGCCATACGACCCAGCCATCCCATTCCTGGGAACTTACCCAAGGGAGATTAAATTAGCACATGAAAAAGTAATCACACTGGGGGGCTTAAGTTGCCATGGCTTCTCATGGTGTTGTTGGCATTTTTATCCTTTCGGCTCTTCCCCTTTTGTTTCTAAGAGCCCCGACCTAGGAATTAAAGATCTCTTTTTGTGTGTGGCTGAATTTTCTCAGTGTTTGTTCTTCTTACTTAATTATTTCTGTGACTACCTCATGGCTTACCTCATTTACGTCTTCCTAAGTTTATCTGAAAGGTCTTAGAAGAAGAAGAGAATGAGAAAAGGCAAAGACTTGTGAGGAAAAAACAAGAGGCCCAGGGTGAGAAGGCTAGCAGATACATGGAGAATGTTTTAAAGCCTCGCCAAGAAATGAAGTTGAAAAAACTAGAAGAGTGTTTTTATCAAATAACAGGGAAAACCTCGAAGTTAAGCAGTGGACATAAACTTGGGGGCAATGAAGATTTGGTGCTTGAAGATGCAAATCAGACATCTTTGGAAACCTCAAAGAGACACAGCAAGGAGACACAAGCCTCTAAGGGAACCTTTGCAACCTGCCATCCAGCCCGTGCCTAAGCAGATTGTTGATCTACCTGAAGAACCTTCTTCAACAGCTAAAGAAGTGGTCACTGTCGCACTCCAATGTCCAACTGGGAGTGTCCTGATGAGATTTTTTAAGTCATGCAGGGCACAGGTCTTACTTGACTGGATAATGAAAATTGGCCACCACACGTCTCTCTATAGCCTTTCTCAGAAAGCCCGTTAGCGGTAGGAGGCTGGTCCCTGGAGCACGCAGGGATAACCATGGATACTGTGCTCATTGTGAAGAGAAAGAGCAGAGCAACTAGGAGTAGAAGGAGAACTCCCTGCTCTCCATAAACCCAGCACGCCACGCCTTCCAGGACAATCAAGGGATCACATTAAAATCAGGCTATACCTTGACTGAACTCAAGGCAGGTAGCCACTTTACTGATGCCACCTGTGGAAACCAGTCAAAATAAGTGATTAGAAATGGACCGCTCTTTGCCTTCGGTCATTTGTGGGTTGTGCCACCCTGCAGTGCAAGTAGCGAGGCCCTTATTCACTGACATTTTCTCCGCTGACATTTCTCAAGATGTAAACTCAAAGTCCTAGGACTATGTTCAGCGTCTTAGTCTAGTTCAGCACACAGGAACTATTTGCCAATTCAGGGGAACCTTCAGCCTCTTGAATAAGAAAGTCTATTCCTGCTGCTTTCCTAGACATCAAAACCCCAAAGAGGAAAAAAAGAGAGAGAGAGATTTGTACCTACATGTTTATTGAAGCTTAATTCACAATAGCTAAGACATGGAATCAACCCAAATGTCCATCAACTGAAAACCGGATAAAGAAATTATAGGATAAGTTCACTATGGAATACTACACAGCAGTTAAAAAAAATGAAATTCGGTCATTTACAACAAAATGGATGAATCTGGAAAACATCATTCTTAGTGAAATAAGCCAGTCCCAAAGGGACAAATACCATATGTTCTCCCTGACCTGTGATAACTAATAGAGCACCTAAAAGGCAATCTGTAGAAGTGAAATTGACACTTTGAGAAGCAATGACTTGAAAAGCCCTTGTCTTGACTGTTGAGGAACAGGTATTCTTTTTTTTTTTTTTAATAATATTTGTTGAACTCTTAACATAGAGTTAAACATATGTGTATAAAGTCAACTGAAAATAGATCTCAGCAAAAAATGAGAGTGGGAATAAAAGAGGGGGAGGAAGAAGGGTTGGGAGTATGGGGGTGGGATGATGGGCATGGTGGGAAGAATCACCATGTTCCTAAAGTTGTAATGATGAAATGTATGAAGTTTGTAACTGTAAAGCTGTATAGTTCTGCATAAAAAAAAAAAAAAGAAAGATCCCACTTTCAATTTTTTGAACCCAGTGGTGGATCATATGGTAGTTCTATCTTAATGTTTTGAGGAATTGCCACACTGTTTTCCATAATGATATCACCATTTTATAATTCCACCAACAGTGAACAAGTGTTCCAGGACCTGCACATTCTTACCAACTTACTTTCTGGTTTTTTGGTAATAGCCATCCTAAGAGGTGTGAAGTGACTTTCATTATGGCTTTGGTTTGTGTGTCTCTAATGATCATTTGGCATTTTTTTAAAATACAGAGTAAGACCTCTCAGAGATACCATTTACACTCAGCATATCGAAAAATGCATCTGATAATACCAAGAATTGGCAAGGGCAGACATCTTTAAAAAGAAAGAAACACTCTTATATACTGCATACAGTATTAACAATCTTTTCTGAAAAACAACTTGACTTTACTTTGTAACATGAACATTTCCATTCCCTGTAACTCAGCATCACAATTAGCATTTTTTAAACACTGGAGAGGTACATGTTGTTTTACTATGTTATGAAACATTTTTTCCTTATAGGCTGTATTTACTGGGTGAAGACACCAGTTGTGTATCTTACACTGAGGGTAGTGGTCATAAAGACTGAAAACCTGTCTTGCATCCGTGCACCAGGAGAATGTACAGTCATAGCACTATTATTCACGATAACAAAAAAACTGGAAACAATCCAAATATCCAGTTGAATTGTAAATTTGTGGCACGTTCACACAAGGCAACTGTTTTATAAAGCAATGAAAATGAACTCATGAGTCTCAAAAACACTTCAGTAAAAAAATGTTTGCAAAGACTGATATTTTTATAAAGCTCAAGAGTATAAAACTGAAGAAGCAAATGCATAGTAAGTCCAATTAGTAAGCAAGGAATTATAAATAAAAAATGGGAATACATTTGGCAAGCAGGTGAGATGAGGAAGAAAATAGACTCAATCATATGGTAGCACTCCAGCTCTTAGGGGCATTCATGGATGTTCCTTTTATTAATATTCACGATAACCTAAATTTATGCTAAATATATTAAGTACATTTAATATGTAATTTACATACTTACAACAATGTATACTTATAAAAAGGTTTAAAAGTTGTACATCCTCTTCTAGCATAGTAGTGAGTCAACACTCACAAACAAAAACTGGATTTCCTGAAAAACAGGTTGATACAAGGGGAAAATGCTTGGAAGCACGCCAAATGTCAACTTGTATAATTTCATGCAGAATCTACATAAACCTTTCTTTCAGTTTCTTGAGGGAAGAAGACAGGTGAATCAGCCCAACAACCACATCACTACCTTAAGCATGAGAGTGCATTGTGTGCTCTTCTCATGTTTTGTCAGTTAAAAGAAAACAAAAATCACAGCTCACAAAACAGTCCTGGAGGTGTGAAGGCCCAGTGTAGACAACACGGCCGCGGCCACATAAGGTGCGATGTTGGTTTACACACAGGTTCTCTGGTCACCTGAGTTAATAATTACGGGAGAAATAACTGCTCACGGCCTCTCCTCTCAATTTACTACTTTATAATTGGAATCATTTTTCTTTGCTTTTCTGATTTCCTTTAAATTATCTTGGGACAGCTCAACGGAACTTTTCATTAAGTAGGAAGCAGCAGGTTCACTTCTGAGAAGCAGCTAAAAAGGAACAACCAAAAAAGTACTTACGGGGGAAAGGGAAAAGATACAGTAAAGAAAATGGTAAAGAAATACGCCAGGAAAAAGGGACAGTGGGAGCTGAAAATATGGAAATTTGCTCCCTAAGACTTCAAAAAGAATATTCAAGACCCGCGCAAAGCTTTCGAGGGCTCTTTTTCTGTGTCACCACAGCAAAGTCTCCTTTGAAAAGTCCGTGCCTTTTAAATACACCAGCAGCAGGAGTCGTCCGGCTCCAGCAAATCTCGAGACAAAGATGGCGGTGGGACTAAGCCCCTGCTCCTCCCGCTGCCAAAGGCTCTCGCCTCACATTTCCCACAAGCCCCTCCGCGCAGCCCTGCTCGCCGAAACCTGCCCGGCCGATGACCAACCAGTGCGCACGCGCGGGGCGACGTCACGTGCGCTCCCAGGGCTCGACAGAGCTGGCAGGAGGAGCCTCGCCAGCTTCCGCCGCCGCGTCGCTTCAGGGCTCGGACGGCGGATTTGCTTTGCTTCTGCCGCCGCGAGGCAGCCAGGGGTCGCGGAGCCGGGCCAGGGGCTTGCGGCGGCGCGGCCATGGGACTGCGCCGGCTCCGGTGACAGCAGGGAGGCGAGCGGCCCGGGCCCTGAGCGCGGCTCCTTCGGGGGCCCTCGCCCTCCTGCTCGCGGGGCCGGGGCTCCTGCTGCCGTTGCTGGCGCTGCTGCTGGCGGCGGCGGCGGCGGCGGCCAGGATCATGTCGGGCCGTCGCTGCGCCGGCGGGGGCGCGGCCTGCGCGAGCTCGGCGGCCGAGGTCGTGGAGCCGGCCGCCCGCGAGCTGTTCGAGGCGTGCCGCAACGGGGACGTGGAGCGAGTCAAGAGGCTGGTGACGCCCGAGAAAGTGAACAGCCGCGACACGGCGGGCAGGAAATCCACCCCGCTCCACTTCGCCGCAGGTAACCGGAGCCTGCGCCGTCTCGCCGCTCTCCGAACCCCACCTGCGCAGCCGGGCTCGCAGGCCTGGAACCAGGCAGTGTTCCCGACCTTTCCCCCCCGGGGCTCTGATCCTGGCCATCTCGCTCTCCCGGAGTAAGGATTGAGGACTCTAAGGGCGGGGTGAGCGTGCGGCACCCACTGGAAGGGTTTTTTTGTTTGTTTGTTTTCTGATAGGGGAGTGTCGGGCTTTGTTTTGTTTCTCCGTATCAACAATACCTGCACCAACTTCCGGTCTTGCTGCCCTAAAAGGCCTCTTACACACAAGAAAGAATAGGACACGTAGTATACACCGAGTTTGTGATTAGAAAGACCAGTTATCTCAAGAATCTGTTGTTCTTGCAAGTTGCACTGGACTCTTATCAATGCTCTGGGTTAAGGTCTCAAAGGCCTTTGTAAAATGCTAGGTTGTAATTTAGGAAGAGTAGTAATTGGCCGTTGACACATGAGCAGTAATTGGTTTATCAGAGTAGCCAACCATTAGCAAGTTTTTGGAGAGGCTGCAACTGGAAATAAGCAAGTTTGGGAGAAGTGAGTTCTGATGTAGACTCCGGGGTGGGTAACCAACCCCTACCATCACCCCTTCTCCACCTCTTCCCCACCCCCTAAAATTGAGGTGGGAGTAGACAAGAGAAAAAAGAAGGTGTGGGTACCTAATTGCCTCATTCTGAGAATTACTTCTACTATTTACTAAATTCAGTTTATGATATAAGCGTGTTAATTCTGGTTGAAGAATGCAAAAGAACCAGAGACAGAACACAACACTTATTTTCATAAAGCATTTATGTTTTTCACTTTGAAGAAAGTAAATGACTGTCTCTAAACTCAGATAAGCCATGAGTGATTGAAAATGGAATAGGTCTTCATACCTCAAATAATGCTAGTTTTTGTGTGTGTGCTTTTTGTTTGTATTGGAAAAGCAGAGGGATATGTTTTAAAACTACGCTTATTCTAGGGCAGGAGTGATGAGCAGAGAAGGGGCATGAGAAAGATTTGCTCCTTCCTAGACATTGCTTTTACAGTCTATACCAGTTGGAGATTTCTTTGCTCTAGCTGCTTCCCATTGAAAATGCAAATACCACAAGGAGGTGTGCTGTCTTGACCTGTTGCACCTTTGTTAGGTCCCCATTGGGTAGGCTTTAAAAAGAGAAAGTCTGGAAGATTGTAGGGTAGAGAACTAGAGACAGTTGTGTGCCATGAAGGGCGAACACCAAAGTCAGATCTCACTTAGAGCTAGCCATTTTGTCTCACAATTTGGTCATCATTGCCACCTTTCTTCGACTTACTTGGATTGTCCTGTTTGACCATAGTCAACATTTAACCAACTGATTTGGCAAACTGTCCAAACCAACTGATACATAATCCAAAGGGTAGTGTTACTTAGATTATGTTCTCTTGATCTGTGGGATAAAAATAACCAAGGAAGATCTTAGTTGCTACCTTTAAAGAATTTGGTGTATTAATGAGTTCATATCTGGATATAGTAGTATTTAGAGGTTAAGGTTATAGTGTTAGCTTCTCTCTGACCTTGTTCTCTTCCATCATGCCATCTTAGCTTTTGTCCCAACATTTCAAAACTTTTTACACAGATTTCATATTTATTCAGAATGAAATAGGAAACTTAGTATTTTGGGAACCAACCTTAATTTTCCGAAATTATCATGTGTTGGTTATCAGAGTAAGAACCAATGAGAGCTTAAAACATCCTGTAAACTCACATGTGAGAAACTTTATGAAAATTGACTTTGCAAATTTGAATTGTTAGATTAATGAGAGGAAACTTGTTTTTTGAAGTTTTAAATAGCTGTACCCAGCTGTATTTTTTTGTTGTTGTGTGGAGAATACATTTTTACGATAGGTGGAGGTACTGTGTAACTGCTTGACCAAGGAATTCTTGTATTAGAGAGTAACCCTTATCTAGCTTTCTGGAGGTTTTCAGGAAGGCAAGTTTTTATCTTCCCAAGGAACATTAGGAATGAGAAATGTGTGCATAGTAGAAAAGATGAAGAACAAGTTATGAAAACAATTGGCTTGTCTTTTCATCTAAAAAAATTAAAAATAAGTTGGTAGGCAGTCCCACGGGGGTTAGGTTCTGTTGTTGAAAAAGATAGTCAACATAAACAGGAACTTTTCTTCTGTTAGGTGTTTTTAATTATTAAATTACGTGCTTCTAGGTAAGTGACTTAGAAATTTCTTAGAAAAATTACTAGGACAATTGTTTCCTTTTCTTTTCACCCACTGCTTACCCCTCACTGTACAGAGACAGAGGATGTGAATGATTCTTTTTTTTCCCCCCGATACATCACATACTTGTAAAGGCAAGTTGCTGGTAGGGTGTATACAGCTCTAATTTTACTAAAAGCAAGAGTATCTGAAATTTCTGACATTGTAATCCCCTAGAAAACACCAGATTTCAGTAAAGAAGACACTGCCTTTCTGAATTTATTTCTGAAAAAGGAAGATGACAACTTTGGGAGAAAGTCATCTTTGAACCCATCGTAGTCAAAGAAATGTAGAATATTCCTTAGAATCTTAGAAATGCGGAGGGGAACTCATAGCTTAAGAACTCTGTGGCTTGAGAATCTTTATTGGCATATCCAGAGAAGTATCATTAAGTAGAGAAAAACATAAAATCGCTTAATTAGGTTCAAGAAATTTAGGCATACAAATGGTGGAGAGTTGATATATATTCTGTGGAAATGACAAATTGAAGCATGGATGGCAGAGTCCTAGCTGGAAAAGTCTTACATTTATTATATATTTGTAGAATATGTTGTTGTTATTTATTTGTACTATGGTACTCAACTGTGTACTTTGGACCAGTTAGATTGAACTTGGATTATTATATATATTCAATTGTGTGAATTGTGTTTAAGAGGGATTTTTTTTTATTCACAGGAAGAAAGTTGAATTAGATAGAGCATCTGTAATTTGTCATACAAGCAAAAGAGTGACAACTGGAGTTACATATTCTAGAGATGAAAGACTGTTACTGTCTTCAAGTCATGTAGAAGAGTGAGTGGATAATGATTTATGTGACTTTGGCAGTGAAAACTAAGGCCAGTAGGTGAAAGGTTACAAGAAGTCAGACAGCTTTTAACAGTTTATTCTACAGTGGAACTGGCTGGAAGTGTCTAGGCAATGGCTGGATTGGCATTTTTAAGAGATGTTATAGTGAGGATTGCTGTATAGTGGGCTCCTGACCAGGTCATAATCCGACTGGTATAGGAAAGTAAGATGATTCCACTAGATGAAGGTCTTGACAAATCAGCTACCTAGGACATATAGCTTTTGTGATTGCCATTCATACCTATTCCCAAAATGAGGCCATTGAAGACTTCCAATAATTTTTCTTCAGATTCTTATTTATTTAAAAAGCAGTGTCAGAGAAAGGGAGAGAGAAAGAGATCTTCCATCCACTGGGTTACTACTCAAACAGTTGCAACTGCTAGCGCTGAGCCAGGCCAAAATCAGGAGCCTGAATACTTTCACTTGGGTGGCAGAAGCCCAAGCGTTTGGACCATAATCCATAGCCCTCCAGGCATATCTGGGGGAGCTGGACCAGAAGTGGAGCAGCCAGTGCTTGAACCAGCACGCCATCATGGGGTACCGGTGTCAAAGGCAGTAGCTACCCACTATAGCACAACACTAGCCCTTTTTAATAACCTTTCAAAAGTGTTTCCTTCTTTGACTGTGGGCCAGCATATTTATGGGAGCTGTATAGGCTATTGTTTTCAAGCTTTATTTTATGCAGTGGGAAATAATTAAATCCTATGTCAACAGAAAACCCCAGTTTCAAATGAAAGTCAGTCTGTTCAGAAATTTAAAGTTTTTTCTTTACTCATCAAATCTCTTATTAGATCAAAATCTTGAGCTGCACCTTTTCCCTTAGCTCTTGTGGAACTAGAGATAGATGATTTCAGTAACAACCCTCCCAGTGTTCCCCCATTCATACTGTCAGAATTTCGTAACTCCAGAGGCCATGGCATCCTTCTCCAAGTTTCTGCGAGTCTGGCCAGAAAGATAGTGTATCTGTCCCAAGTTGAGATGGGCAGTGGCCCTTCTCTTACATTCCTTATTCTGAAGAAATATGTGTGGAAATAACTTTTATGGATCTCAGTAAACTGAAGTTAATAGTAAAGGAGAAGTTTAAAATGGCATTACTCTGAGAAAGCTGTCAACAGTGAGTCCTGGCTGGATAAGTTAGAGCTTGCAGACTGCTTGGTTATAGCTACCCATCTCCTGGGGCTTGAGGGCTTTTTCTGTTTTGTGACATTTGTGGATGTGTTTTTGTTTGTTTGTTTGTTTAGAGATTTATTTGACGGGCAGAGTTAGAGGTCTTGCATCTGCTGGTTAACTCCCTAAATGGCCACAATGGCCAGAACTGAGCCAATCCGAAGTCAGGAGCCAGGAGCTTCTTCCAGGTCTCCTGCCTGCGTACG